CGTGATCCATCACAGGGAGAAATTTCAGGAATTATTCGCAGGGCACTGACATTTAAAGCATTTCACGTCCGATCATTATTCAGCGGATGCATGCCTCCCTAAAGGTCAGCGCTCAGTGGAACAGCGGCCGAACGCACAGATCATTGTTTCAAGAAGCAAAACCTGTAAACACAACGTTCAGCTGTGGAACACAAACTGGTGAATAACATTATCATGCCTATGCTCCCAGCAGATGAGCAGGGCTGGACACGAAATGGACAAATAATCCTTTATACTCCTTCATTAGCATTTATGAACAAAGTGTGAGACTTATTTAAGTTGGTGTTAGCTGAGGTTGTTAAAAGCCCGGTGTGGGACGGCTGTTTCCATCTTTAATCCCCACTATCCACTCTTGGTGGGGGGAAGGGATCCTGTCTCAAAATAACAATGGTCTTGCAAATGCAATTAAGTCAGCCGGACAATGATGTTGGCCATGCTCGTGGTGCAGATTGGCTGTTCGTTAGCCCTCCCGCAGAGCCCAACAGACCAAATCCTTTTTCAGTTTAGAGAACACTGACTCACTCATATCTGAGCAGATACAGGGCGAAGGTCCCTAAAGTTCTCAAACCAAAGAAAATGCCAGTGAATGAAGCCATTGGTGGAAACTTAATTCTTTAAATGAGACGGGAAGGTTAGCTTCTTTTGGTCAGAGAAGAGGTCATTCCTGCTTATAGCAAAAGCCTTATAATGAGTATTTGTTCTCATCATCAGCCACTGAAACAGTCTAATCCTCCTTACGGTTATTGATAAAACATATTGAATTGAATTAGAAAATATAATCTTTTAGGGATTAAGTGATTCATAGAAATCCTTTATTTGTGTCCAGGTTTTACAGGAACACTGATACAGGAACATTTTTACACAAAGCAAAGGCACTTTTCCATCAAAATATCCACAAAAACAGATGCAAATTTTCACAAACAGTCTCTGCAGGTCATTTACATGCAGACACATTTTTACACAAAGCAGAGTTCAACAATAGGACACTTTGAAAACCCCAAAAAACAAATGCAAATGGGCACAAACAGCGTCTGCATGTCCGGTTTTCTCTCCGAGCCCTGAGAGCCGCTGCTGTACAAGCCAATGCAAATCTCCCCTCAGATATGTTATCCCACACAATCACAGGCTGCGCTTCATGCAAACAGCGTTCATCTAACGGTAAAAACCACCTGTCACATCGAGACCGAAACGTGGCCGCCATTACAAGTTACTGTGTGGTAAATGCTGGAATGTGCCCTTTGAAATGGTTTTCTTGGGTTTTTTTAACCACCGTGGCCCTTGTGTGACATGTTGTTGTGCACATGAGACCGAAAAGGAAGTTAGATATCAACTAGCAGGTGATTGTTTCCAAAAATAATCATTTCTGTCAACCAGAAATGTGAGAAAATGTGAAACTATTCCACTGGGTGGAAATGCACAGTTTGTGGCTCCTGTTGCGAAATGTTTTAAACTTCTTAACTGTTAGCTTTTGGCCTGATTTCAGCTAATAAATCTAATGTGCATCTCTCTCTATGAAGCTGTTACCATCAATATTTTAACAAAAACGGAGTGAAATCAAGCTTTAAAAGCTCTTTATATCATGTAGAATCCATGAAATCTGCTGGTTTATTGAGGCCGCAAATCTCATTATAAAGAAAATATTTCCCTTAAGTGATTTTATAGCCACTTTCTAAGTGAATGAATAGTTTAAACACCTTCACGAGTCTGAGGATTAGCGTCTCTTTAGTAATAAACCAAATAACTGCAAAGTCCACCTTTTTTAATGCTTATCAGGATGATCAGATTAACCTCCTTTAAACGGCAGTTATCTCTAACAGCACATGAACAACACACACTATACTCCTCAAATTAAAAAGATAATTTTGTAAAATTGAAATGAATAACTTGGCTGGGTAATAGAACATTATCTCATATGTACTCAGAGACAGTGATTTAGCTTTTACCTCTTTAGTTTTTGGCTAATTAAACAATTTATTAAATTAATTAAACATACTTTCATGATTACTTAGTTTGTATTGTTTCACTTATTCTCACTTAAACATCTCATAGCAGTCAACTATTGTTGTAGTGACATCATATCCAGATAAATCAGAGTGAGGAAGAAGTTAAAAATGTGCTCTAACGTAAAATAAAGCTGAGAGAGAGACTTTCTTTGCCATCCTATATTTTTAGAAAAATGCATCTCTTTAAATTTGGGAAATGAGGGCATCATGTGTGACCTTTAAACACGTCAGCGTGTGCGTTTCCCCGTTGCTGTCCCCATCATTTTAAATTAAAAAACCCTTTCTCTGTGTTTTCTCCTCATCCCAGAACTCCAGCTCAGACCACCGGATCCAGCTGGACCTCGGCCTGTGGGACAAGTTCAGCGAGCTGGCCACAAAGTGCATCGTGAAGGTGGTGGAGTTCGCCAAGCGGGTGCCGGGCTTCACCGGCCTGACCATCGCCGACCAGATCACCCTGCTCAAAGCCGCCTGCCTGGACATCCTGGTAGGACGGGAAACCTCACCATCCATTTGCTGTCTGACCGTTAATTCAAACATCTGCACATCAGTGGAGAGTCTGTGTGATCCATTATCCGTTCTACCACCGTCTCAGAAAATATCCTAATGATCTGGGCAAATGTCCACGGCTTTAAAGAAGGTGGCCAATTCGACTTATCGAATTGGCCAGAAAGTCACAAACTGATATGATGCATTCATTTCCTGGAGACTGCAAACTCCAGGGTCCTCCATGGTTTAGTTTAATCTGCAATATATATAGTTTTTTTATGTATATATCTATCTATATTATATGAGGGCCGATAAGTCGAATTGGCCACCTTCTTTAAAACCGTGGACATTTGCCCACATTATTTTCATTTCATTTTAAGCATGCAAAAGGAACCACTGACATTTAAAAACATCTTTACCTGGCTCTGACTTAAGGTGAGCTAAAGCATAAAACACACCGAGCTTCTCAAAGATTCAGCGCCATTAGAAGGAGTTGTTTTTATAGTATTTTATATAGTATTTTTCCGCTCCTGAGACCAGAAAATCACAAACTGATATGATGCATTCATTTCCTGGAGACTGCAAACTCCAGAGTCCTCCATGGTTTAGTTTAATCTACAAATATTTTGAGCCCATTTAGCTGAAATTCCCTCCATCCATCCATCCAACAATCCATCCATCCATCCATCCATCCATCCATCCATCCATCCATCCATCCATCCATCCATCCATCCATCCATCAATTCTTTTCTACTGATTTGAGTTATCCTGGAAAAATGTAGGAAATACGATTTGAGACAAAGGAAGCTGAATCGGGCGTTTTGGAGGTATTTCTTTCCTCTCCGTGTCCCTCACTTGCTCGGCTCTTTCTCCAGATCCTGAGGATTTGCACCCGCTACACCCCTGACCAGGACACCATGACCTTCTCCGACGGGCTGACGCTGACCCGCACGCAGATCCACAACGCGGGCTTCGGGCCGCTGACGGACCAGGTGTTCTCCTTCGCGGGCCAGCTGCTGCCGCTGGAGATGGACGAGACGGAGAGCGGGCTGCTCAGCGCCATCTGCCTCGTCTCCGGAGGTCCAGACCCCCGAAACGCCGCCTCCAGCCTCCGGCCTCCAGCCGCTCGTCCAGCAGGCCTGACGCTGCTTGTTTCCCCCACCCCCTCCTCTGAAAACAGATCGGCAGGACCTGGAGGAGCCGTCCAAGGTGGAGGTGCTGCAGGAGCCGCTGCTGGAGGCGCTGAAGATCTACTCCCGGAAGCGGAGGCCCAGCATGCCGCTGATGTTCCCCAAAGCCCTCATGAAGATCACCGATCTGCGCAGCATCAGCGCTAAAGGTCTGGCTCTAACCCCCCCGTACTCCCATCTACCGGTGAACATGTGCCCGTGCTGGGAAAAGACTAGGGATGTTCCGATCCAGCTTTTTTCACTTCCGATCCGATACCAATCCCGGCCTATCAGAGCACGTATTCAAGTACGGTATAAAGTTATTTATTCTACTTACTTAGTTGTCAGACTCATAATGAGGAGGGGTTTACTCTGATAACAAGTTAATGGTTAGGAACCAGACCTGTGGGTTAGAAGATGCTAGTGCTAATGCTCATGTGGATCGGACTTAAAAAAAAAAAACTTGATCGCCAGTCTGGATCGGCCTGCGCGGTGGTGTGGTGGTTAGCACCGTCGCCTCCCAGCAAGAAGGTTCTGGGTTGGACTCCCTTGAGAACCAGGGCCTTTCTGACTGGAGGGTTCTGGGTTGGAGTCCCGGGGGAACCAGGACCTTTCTGGGTTGGAGTCCCCGGGGGAACCAGGACCAGAGGGTTCTGGGTTTTAGTCCCTGGGGGAACCAGGACCTTTCTGCCAGAGGGTTCTGGGTTGGAGTCCCGGGGGAACCCAGAGGGTTCTGGGTTGGAGTCCCCGGGGGAACCAGGACCAGAGGGTTCTGGGTTGGAGTCCCGGGGGAACCATGACCTTTCTGGGTGGAGTCTGCATGTTCTCCTGTGTCTGTGGGTTCTCTCCGGGTTCTCCGACTTCCTCCCACCGTCCAAAAACCTGCATTTTATGTTGGCTGGACATCAAAACTGCCCTTAGTGTGAGTGTGTGTGGTTGTTGGTCCTTGTGTGTCTCTGTGCGTCCCTGTGATGGACTGGGGACCATCCAGGATGACCCCACCTCCCCCCATTGGCCACTGGGATAGGCTCCAGTTCTCCCCGCGACCCCATTAGGGAATAAGCGGTAACGATAATGGATGGATGGCAGTCTGGATTGGCAGTCTTTTGCGAATATTGGCGGCCGATCCGATCCAGATATTGGAGTTCAGAAAAGACGTTCTCCGTCTGTGTCCACAGGAGCCGAGCGAGTGGTGACGCTGAAGATGGAGATCCCGGGCTCCATGCCGCCGCTGATCGAGGAGATGCTGGAGGACCTGGAGAGCCTGACGGCCGCCCAGCACGCGTACTCAAACTCCTCCGGCTTCTCCCGCTGAGGACTTCTCCCAGAGAGTGATTCCCCCAGGATACAAAGTCCAGATGCAGTTCAGTGGGTCGCTTGTGTCTTACCTCAGCCGTTGTCCGGAAATCCGCCAGAAAGGAGGTTCGGCTGCCACCTCGCCGGCCTTCAGGTGAAAGAGAGGCTGGTTTTTGTGGGCTCGAAAGGAGGGAAATAAATAGAACGATGCAGTATTATTTTAATCTTTGTTTCTATTCACCTGCAACTTGGTCGTAACCACGTCAGAAACAATGAAAAGCGCTCAGCCTTTCTTTACCATTTCTGATTTCTACCATATTTATATATGCATGAGTTTTCATGGATTAATTTTACCTCATTAAAGAAAAAGTTTAGCGTTAGTCGTAGAAAGAGCGGAAAACATATCTTTTTATAATAATTTGTCAAAACTTTTTGTGTAAGAAGGGAAACTGAAAAGCTTGGTGAAGTATGAATGTTCATAATTGGCTTTAACAAAGTTCCCAAACTTATGTATCTTAAATGATAGAAGAAAGAAACAGGACTTTTATGAATAGTATTGTGTCTATAAGCGTGTTGCTTCTCCTCAACAGGGAGTTTTAACTGGAAACCAGTTCACCAGTTACGCAGTGGGACAGATGAAGCTAATAATGATACACAACTGTATATCGTCACAGATTGTCGTGATTTTTGACATTTATTTTAGGAGCCAGAAAGAGTTTGAAAAGTTTCAAAGCCGAAAATGTACCTCTGTGTTATTGTCCTTGTTATTGTTGTTTAGGTTTAAAAACAAGAGGATGTATCTTAACAGTGCTCTCGGCGTGGCACATGTTCTAACACAGACACCTTTACTTCTCCTTTAGCGCCATCATCAGACGAAAAATGTAATTTCTTTTCAAACAAACAGGCATCTTCATCCATCTGAGCTGAACATGTTGTTGAATTAACTCGTTTAATAAGCTAAGATGGGGAAATAAGGCTGGAAAGTGTTGCAAGAACAGCTGACACGAGGCAAAAAACCTGACTCTGTAACACTGGACCGAGGATTTGAGGGACTTTTAAACGGCGCTATATCAAATGATGTAAATGTTGTGTGAGTATAGTGGAAGAGCTGTTGACCTCCATCGTCTCGCAGAGCCCCGACGGCCACAGGAACAACATATCGAACGCTCGTATCCGAGAGCTGCTGATGTTCTGAGATATTAGAGGCTGAGAAGCTCCATGTGAAGACTCACTCGTGCCTACCGTGAATGTGCCGACGTTTTTAAGGTGCTTTCGGAAGTTTTAACGAGAAACAAATGAATTTTGTTTTCCTTTTTTTTGTTGTGTGTGTGTGTGTGCTCGTCCACTGCAGTTTGACTCGTGTGTGTACATAGGCTCACCGTTTCCCATCTTTGTGTCTTGTCAATTAAAGGTGTCTTTATTCGATTTGATTCTATCTGCCGGCTTTTTCTTTTTGTCTTGTTCTTTCCTCCACGGCGGCCTGCTCCATCGCCTGTAAGGAAGAGGGTTCCCGGTTCAAACGCCGGCTGGGGGCCTCTCTGTGAGGGGTTTGCGTGTTTTGCCTGTGCATGCGTGGCTCCCACAGTTAAAAAACATCAGTGTTAGTTAACTCTTGACCCTAAATAGGCTTTAGGTGTTTGTCTCTGTGGGACCCTGTCCAGGGCTCCCCCCTGCCACATAGAAAATAGACGGATGGATGTTTCATGCACTAAATGAATGTGTGTGTGTGTGTGTGTGTGTTTTCTTAACGTTGCACAGTTTACTGTCAATTATACGGTCCATGCTGCCCCCTGTTGGTGTTTTAAGGAACTGCACACAGTGGATTTAAAGTTGGCTAAATAGATGTTACTGTAAAAACAAACAAAAAAAAACAGAAAAATCAACCTCATAGCTCCTGAAATATGAAGCTTCATTAGTAGATGCTTTAGGGAAGCCCTCAAATCACCACATATTTCTTTGTTACGCATATTTTGATCAAACTCATCTTCAGTGGGAGTAAAATCCTCTTTGCATGCTGAGGTTTCACTGTCAGTCTGAGAAACATGCTCATGTTTCATCTACAAACTTTTATTATGATGTGATTTTGATTTGATTTTATAATGTCATTTTTTAAAAGTGCTTAATTTCAAGCCACGGCCCACAGTCCAGGTCCAGGTGAGTTGGTAAATGAGATATGAATAGTTGGACTAAAAGACCCGGACAAAAATAGACAATCGCCACTGTGTTGAAGGTCTATTTTAAATCAGAAATACAAGACAAAATGTTTGAGTTTTTCAGACTCTCCGGCCAGCCACTGAATATTTTCCACTGACAGCTCTGTTTTTGGGCTCACACTCCGCCTGCACACGGCTCTGAAGCTCTGCGTGACGTCTCTTTGCTGAGGGCCTGTTTGCATATTCAGATGAGTGCAGGTGCTTGAAATGCAAATGAAAAAATCACCTTTTCTTATGTCTGATCTGAAAAAGGCTGCTGTTAGGACCATTTTATCAGAAGCTAGTTTATATCCTACAAAAGTTTGGATTCCATTTTTCTCCTTCTTGCCAGCAGAGGAAGATGTTATTGATTAAATTAATATAGTTTGGGAATAAAAACTCATATTGTGCACCCAACACAAAATAATACAATAAAACAAATGTAGGTACTGAGACATCGTTTGAAGGTTAAATATCTGTAAACTATCTCCACTTTAACTGTTGTATTTCTAAAACAAAGCTTTCAAAGATTAACAGTATTTATTTAAAAAGTATTTCTCACACTGCTGCTGAAAAGTTTACTTGTAAATTATTTTTATTCAAATATGTATAAATACTTTTACAAAAACTAAAAATAACACGGAAAAAAGTAAACATTGCATTAAATAGTGTTTATTAAATAATTTCTTGTAGAGATCACACACAATTACGATGAACAAAGTGTCCTCCAAAGAAAAATACAATATGAATCATCGTCACTGAAAAATAAATTCTATTTCATAATGCATGTCACAATGTGCACAATACTGGAAAAAAAACATTTGATTTGGTTTAAACATCCTTCGCAGGTGTGGAAGATGTGATAAGTGGAATTGAGGCTCTTATAAAGCTCGTTGATAAGGAGGAAACTGGCTCATGTGCGCTGGAACGTGCAGTAAAGAGGCACAACTCTTTGATCCTGAGAATTGAAAGTGCAACGAAACAGGAAGCTTGACGTCAGCTCAGCGGTCTGACCGCCACATGCAGAGTTACAGTTTGATCTGAACTTAGTTTCCACCGTCATCACATTCATGCAACAAATCGGATTTGTTTCCCAAGGTCACATGACACCTGTTCAAAAAGCAGGTGGGCGATGCCACGGTTTGGACTTTTACTCTGCACTCTTACAGCTTTATAATGTCAGTGAAAGTGATTCCAGTCTGGGTGGATTACATACTCATACTGCTATGAGTATGATGCCAACTTTGAGTCTTGCCATGTTTCAGATGAGAACAGACGTCTCTCACTTCTTTCCTCGGTTATCTCTTTCCTCTTTGATCCTAAACAAGACAAAAGCCTCAGTTTGAACGTTTTACCCATGTTCAGTGATGTTTTATTGACAATATTTAGTAATAAAGAATAGCCAGACACTCAATTAGAATTTCTAAATTCTAAATTTCTTTTTAAAAATATCCAGATGGTAACATGTACATGTTTTCAGCTCACCTGCTCTGTGGTGCTTCGTAGTAGCCGTTCTCCTCCAGGAGCTCCTCGATAATCCCCTGAAAAAGGAAAATTTGAGCTGGAATTCCATTCCAAGGCAGAATCAATGTGACACACACAAACGGAGAGTGTTGATTAAACCATTTTTCTCAAGTCAAGAAAAAAAAACAGCTGCCATCTGAAACAACAAAGTACACGTCTGTAGAACTGGACACCAGGGGATTCATTTCAAATTCCTGTAAACATCCATTTGAAGCTCAGCCATTTATTTATTCATTCCATTAATTATTCGATCACAGTTACATATGTTCAAAGAACCGACCTGCATCTGCTGATATGTAACTCCATCTTTGAGACTCCCATCGGCTGTGAGAGGAAATGACATTCAGTTCAGACCCTTTTTCGGCATTTTCTCAAAAGCATCTGAGCGGAAATGCTGCTCTACCTGAGCGGTCGGCAGGGTGGGGGCCTGCTGGGAGGCGGTGCACCAGAGGCCACCAGTCTGACGCGGCCACCAGCTCTGGAGAGGCCTGGAGCAGCTGGGGGGGAAAAGCACTGCTGCTCTGGTCATCTGCTGCATATTCAACTGGTCAAACACTCAGTGACCAGAAAAGGCTGAAAAGCAAACGGCTGAAACTCTTCGTCCATTCTCAGGATAAACAGTGAGATTATTATGGGATTTATGGGTCAAATCCAAACACATTTGTGGTGTATTTAGGTCAAATATTCCTCTTTGATGTTCCAACAGGTGTAGATTTCAAGCGATTAGCAAAATAATAACCCATTTGTATTTAAGTCAATAGATCACAAGGTTTTCTTGGCTGTTTATGGACACTGTAGACATCTGAGTCCTTTTTTTCCTTCTTTTTTTTTACAAAGTTGGTATGTGAAAAGTGGGCCAAGTTTACAAAACAGCTTATCCTCAAAGTTTATCTTCTTTGCAACAAACCCGCGACATCACTCTCCAGAGGAGATTTAGCTTCTGTTTGTTATGGAGCTGCAGCTCAGTGATAGTAACAGCCTCAGCGGGGCTCATGCTGAGAGCAGAGTTTGAGCTCAAAGCCACATGACATTCGGCTTTCTGACGCGTGGAAAAAGGAACCTGGCTTTGCAGAGCAGTGCACTGTATTTCACACGGGTTTTTCAGGTTTATCTCACCATCTTCTGCTCAACATTTCTGATCACACAGTCGCTAAACACACTGGACAACTATTTAAAAGCCATTTTCTTGAGTATGTGTATTTTCATGTTTTAAAAGTGCAATGGCCACTGAGTTGGACATTAGTGCATCATGCATTAAAAATAAGAAAATGTCCACAATTACATCCTGAACTGATCAGAATTCACGCATCAAAAGGTTAAATGTGCGATTTGGCTCCTCAAACCTTTCCGAGCTCGGCTTTCAGGTTGTACGGATTGCTGCCAAGCTGGAAGAGGGACTTTTTAAACCTCTCGACGAGGCCTCGTTTGATGCTGTGGTGCGGAGCCGGAGGGAGCTGGAAAAGTAAGGAGGACACAAAAAAATGCACCAACGACAAAAATCCGAAGTGGCAGGCACCAAAAGGAAACCCTGACATGTCTGGACTCTGATAGAATGCGTTGAGAACTGTCCTACTTGAGTGATGCTGATGATTTTGTGCAGCTGAACGAGGAGTCTCTGGACGGGGTCGTCTATCTGCCGAAGCCGCTTCTGGGACACACAGATCCCCGAGGACACTGGGGTACGAGCACAAGCACACACACACATTTCTGACCAATGGGGGACATTGTGTTGTGTTGTGTTGCTGCTTTCGTCTCTTGTGTCGGAGCCGTACCTGGTCTTGGTTTCATCTTTAAAGGAGAAAAATCTCGACTGAAAAAAAAAGGGAACTGGTTAAGAAAAAAGAAGGCATCTCGAACTGTGTTCTTTGAACTGGATTCTTTGCGATCCACACATGCTTAAAAAAATGTTTTTCTGCTTACTCGGCTGTGATGTCTGGGGTGCCGCTGGGTTTCAGGACTACGAGCGAAGCAAAAAGGTGACACAAAAGGGCGTTTGCATTAGGGTGAGCGAGCAACACCTTCAACCGTGTTCATGTGACACGAGAAAATGACTAAATGAGCCCTCCTGGTTGTGCAGATTTAATTCGACTCACTGTTTTGTGTCCCCGTGGAAGCGCCCGGGTCGTTTTTGGCCTCAGATGGTTTTACGCCTTCACGGAGTATGTCATCTGCTAACACATTCACAACAACCTGTCACTCTGGTTTCGCGGCCCGGCGTGAAAACCTGAGCCCTATGAAAACTGCCACCTTGAGTGATGCGCTGCTGGCTGAGGTCTGAACAGCATGCAGCTGAGGAATTTTGAGCCGGCGAATCAGCCTCCCTGAGAGGTCTCTCCTGCAAAGCGTGCAGCTCCTGTTATTACCACCAGAACCGGCTTCTCACACTCTGATGGGACCACTCGGAGTTTACCTGGTGACAGGTGGCTTTATGTCTTTCCAGGAAGTACTTCTGTGCTCGTTTCCTCTCCTTCTCAGCCCTTCGCTCCAGCGCGTGGTGGGAGGAGTAGAGGCCATCCATGAGGCTCATCATGAGGTCAGAGATCCTGGAGCCGACGGCTACGATGTCCGGCCGCCGGTCCGCATCTGGACTCAAACACCTGACGGAGAGAATCGATCAAAGTGACCGTCATCCGCGCACAGGATGGAGTCTCAGCCGGATCTGAATCCTCACCATCTGATCATGTCTGTGACCCTCTCAGAGAAAGCTTCTTCTTCTACCGGCTCGTAGGCGGCTTCAACAATCTGTATAAAAAGAAAGATAAGTGACCAATCGGGGAAAATGAGACACCTGAAATGATATTGGAAGAAGGGGTGTGGTCATGTGACCTTGCTGGCCAGTGCCAGCATGTTGCTGCTGTAGAACGGCGGCTGTAACGTGGCCATCTGATAGAGGACGCAGCCCAGAGCCCAGATGTCAGCTTTCTCCCCGTACGGCTCGTTTTTCACCACCTCTGGACTAAACATGGAAATAAGACACATAAACATGCACACATTTTGTCTTTATTCTCATATACAGAAGTCTAATGTGCAGCATCGCATATATCTCAATTTTGCACAGGAACAAAGATATCGTGGCAGAAGTTCAGCCTCCAACCAACTCTAACAAGCAGACTATTTTAACCATTTTCAATTAATTTGAATTAAAAATACTTTTTTTTAAAATTCTGTTGTGTTTTTTAAATGCCTGGCAAGTTTCCTCATTCTACTTCCATTTTCCTCTGATTTTGGGATCTGTTTGAGGCTTTTGCTATGAACACATGAACCCAGTGAAGCTTCCCTTTTCTCTGGAGCTGTGTTGAGCTAACAAACCACAAACTGTTCACAGAGTGCAGCACAGTGCAGGAAAAAGCTGAAACCACCACATCAGATCGATCCAGACCGGAACGAAGCCCGTCAGATGGCTGTGTGTGTGTGTATGTGTGTGTATGTGTGTGTGTGTGTCCTCCCCAATATCTGCTCCAGCCTGTGCAGACTTACTTGACATTTAAAAAAACTGTGGAGGCATTAGTGTTGCCAGACCCATTCTCTCACCAGGAGTACAGGATGGTCCCGACCACTGACGTCAGTTTGCTGCTCTCCTGTTTCTGCTTGGCGAGGCCGAAGTCGGCTTCAGGCAGAGGAGAGGGGAGTGTCAACATGAGCAGAAATGTGTGAGGCACGTCTGCTGTGACAAACTGTGAACGCAGCCTCACTGATGGTGACTCTGTCCTCCTCCCCCAGCATGATGTTGTTCGGTGAGAGGTCGCGGTGGACGATCCTCTTCTCTTTGTGCAGGTACCTCAACGCCAAACACATCTGAAAGAAGACAAATGAGTTAAAAACAAATCAATGGAAAGGAGGGACTGAAAAGTCTCTGAGAAGAACACAATGACGATCATGTGAAAAATCTCTTAAAGAACGCTCATTTGCATTTACAGAAAAGGTTTAAACAGCTTAAAGTGAATGTCTGCTCTGAGCTCCTGATGTCCTCTTCATCTGCTGGAGATAGTTTTTTAGGCCCGTCACTTGCTCTACTATCCTTTACTTGTCCAGTTTCCTCAAATGTCTTAAGGACACACTGCACACCAGGCTGAGATATGCCCAGTTTTCAGCCAGCAGCTCGTTGGGAATAATCAGAAATCCTGTTTTCTGTCTGTCAAACTGTGTTTTTTTTCGTTGGCATTTTTCACACATTAACTAAAGAAATGGGAGCATACTGTCTTTGAGACATCCTTCTAGGAACAAGGGGGCCAAAAATACAACTTCAATAGTTTTTTTGTTGAGTTGTGAAATTTTCCATTGCTTGAACGATTCATAAGTGAACGTGTTGTGGCATAACGAACAAAATCAGAATGCCTAGTCAACTAGTCTGGTAGGATGGACAGAAACAAACTGCACCACTCATGCCTCTCAATGTCTGCTTCAGCCCCCCTTCTGTGCATTTAATCATGACTTCATCCCATGAATTAATTCATTAACACTTCACTGAACATCTACATTGCATCGCCTGACATTTGTGTAGCAATAAAACTTTATTATTCAATCAAAATGAAGGTGTGAAAAACCAGCTGAAGCCAGTTAAAGGGTTTATTTTTCGGGGGGTTTTTACCTGAATGAATATCTTCCAAATTCTGTCTTCAGTGAAGCGCTGCTGCTTCTCCTTCAGAGAGTTGAAGTGCTCGGCCAGCGGCACCCCCTCAATCAGCTCCATCACGACGTAAAGCTTTTCACCTAAAACGGAGGGAGGGGTTGGGATTTTTTGTCTTTAACGACTTCAGATGCCTTATTCATAATTCACACAGGCTTGGAGGGACAATCGGTGTGTCATCTGTACCTTCCAGAAACGTTTTGTAATATCTGACGATGTTTGGGTGTGTCATCTAAGGAGGGGGGGAGAACAAACCACGCGTCACCCACACAAACCATCCAAACAGAGAGGGAGGGAGTTCGGCACGGGGGGAACGGAGCTGCGCGCCTGCTCTCTGATGATCGTCAGCTCAGAGATGATCTTCTCCACGTTACTGTCTCTGGACTTTTTGTCTTTGCCGAACACCGGGTTGTGCAGGTTGACCTCCTTCAGAGCCAGAAGGTTCTGGCCACTCTGCTTTCGAACCTGCCATTCAGAGAAACATTCACCGAAGTCAAGTAACAGAAATCAGCCGTGGTACATAACTGAATCAAAACTATGCCAGAGTCGGTTCCTTCTGCCAGGTTTCAGGGTGCTTGTTTCACCTTAAAGACACTTCCAAAGGCTCCTGTGCCCAGATGGTCAAGTATGGAGTAACCGTTGACCACTCTCAGGGGGGGCCGGTTCTGATCCACAGCTTCAATGTTCTCTCTCAGGCTGTCCAGCTCCTCCTCCTGTATTTAAAACACAATATATTTGTTTTCAAGTCAAAGGATCATCTATCTGTAGGCTCGAAGTGCTAACAACCCGACACCAAACTGGCATATGAATCCATTTAGAAGCTCTTTTCTTACAGCGAGGAGGGAAATTTTGGTTTGCAGGCCCTCGTAGGCTGCGAGGTCTCGCACATAATGTCCAACATCAATAAACATCTCAAAGAGGTCTGTGGGAAAGAGTCTGAAATGGAAAGAGTCGCAGTCTTTAATGAAATTGTTGTCTCCCATCCAAGCGGAGAGAGCTTGGAAGGATTTCCGAATGAAATCGCTTCTTTTGTTGTCACCTTTTAAACAGATGTCTGTTTCTTTCAACGCTAAAGAGGAATCGGAGGGTCCGGAAAGCGTAGCACTGCCAAAACAGACAAACAAACCCTTCATTGTCCCATCATAAATACACTATTACATAACTAGATGCTGCATGAAGCATTTACCTGCAAAGAATGGGCCTTTGGTCCAGAATAATGTGGTAAAATCAATTTTGCGATGATAAAAATCCCATTCTCCTACAAAAAAAGAAATCACAGTTTACTGATGCAGTGCGTGTAAGTGCTTTACACCCCATAAAACTGCCTTGTGTAAGCGCTATTTACCAGCACAATGTGGTGAGCAGACGCGTCATCCAGGCTCAACTCAGTCAGAGCTGTACAGCAGGCTGAAAATAAATCGGAGATTTCAAAACTCAGCCACAGGGCAGAACTGAGACTGAAACAGAGAGAAATACTGAAGGCCTGGAAACGGGAGCTTTGAGCTTTTCTCTCGGTCGCACTTTTTGCGGGAGACGTGGTGGTTCTGCACATTTTTTAAACCCAAATTAGCTGCAGTTTATTGCAGTGTAATCAAAGACAGGAAATTTACAACCACTTCCTCTGAAGTTGCAGATACACAAAGTCAGGTCCCAGCGCCGTGGACTGTCTCACTTCAGGAAAAATCTGTTTACATTCTCAGCTGCAGATAAGACTCCTCCACAGGGGAAACCAGGCAAACGACCATAAACATTTACAGCTCTTTTTCATCATTTTACAACATCACCTGCACAAAATTTCATGGGATGAGTTTTACATAACAAACAGTGGAGAAGATGGGACCGTTTCTTATCAAATGTGTTATAGCCCTGGAAAGACAGGCTGCTGACCTGACTTCAGGGCCACAGAGCTGTTGGATTCCTCCAGCGGGCCGCCATCGTCGCCCATGTGCTCCCTCAGGATGCGATCGGCAGAGTTAGAGCTGGACAGTTTCTCGAAGCAGGAGCGGTCAGACACATACTGCCTGTCACTGAAAGAGTTCATTTGACCACAGTTGGTACCATAGTAACCTGAAAATGGTGGGGGCCGGTCATTTTTCGGCCTCAGGACAGTTTTGTTAGAAATGATGATGCTCGACTAGAGAGCCAGACACCATATTTAGCCACTGAAATGTCAATCACTGAAACGAAACTGAGAGAAATAAATTGAAAGAGAAACATGCAGGTGATCTGGTTATCAGAGCCTGTCAGAGCACATTGTGGGCATGTCCTGGCAAAACTATGGGAGTTATTTTGAAGCTTGTTGCTGACAATCCAAACTTCTGCTAAGCTTTGTTCTTCCTTCCTGACCCTTTACGGCACTTTATGACATCTGCGAGTCCCCTAAGTATGATCAGAAAAGTTAGTTCTGCAGCTGTATTCAATGGAAAATAAAAATAAGTTTAAAAAAAGGAAAGTTTTTGGTCGGTATGCACTGCAAGGGGCTATTTAGCGTTTCCCCAAAGCTGAGGGAAGTCAACCTGTTGAGCAGTCGGAGGAGCGGCTGCACTCCGCCCCAGCTCCGGATCTCGCTCCTCGAATCGGGATCCTCGCAGAGCTGGACCAGGATCCAGGTGACGCTCCAGAGCAGCTGGAGGTGTCGGCCGTGCAGCAGGCTCAGCAGCACCGGCACTCCCTCCAGCTCCCCCACCCGGCCCCTGACCCGCTGCACCGGCGAGAGCAGCCTCAGCAGCTCTGCAGCCATCCTGGAGGAGGCACCAGGTTTCAGCCCACATGCACACGCACCCCTAACCCAAGACAGAATATTCCACTTTGATATTGTCATAGCATCAACAAATGGGTGATTCTTTGCCTCTTTGATGGGAGGTCATATTCCTGAAGTATGGTAAGTAGGCTTGCTACTATTGGTGGCTCCCCAATCTCATTCTTGTACTCTGGGCTGCAAAAAAAAAAGAACTATTTCAAGAAGAAAGCATTAGATGTGTATTTCATACCTCAGTTAGGATATTACTTACCTCTCAGCCAAAGTGATTAAAGCCAGCAGAGCTCCCAGTAACACACCGCTGTCTGTCGTAGAGAGGAGCTTCACCAGGGTCTGAGAAAGTTGGAATTTGCTTTTCTCAGTGTTCAATCAACTCATGATAATGAATTAAATGTCAGTCAATGCCGTCTTTGCACTCATATTAAAACACAACATCCCACAGGGACCCATCAAATGTGCAGTGGAATCCTGCCAATTAGTCATGGATCCTGCAAAGTTCACTTTGGCTCAAAATATTAAGGAGTCAGACAAATAAATAATAAAAAAACGAAGAATTCCCGGAGTTGAGTTATTTGTGTGGGTAGTTTGATTAGAGACAGTGCCAGAATCTAGCAGCAAATAGAAAATAAATAACACATTTATATAAGAGAAATGTCAGAAATCTTGAGGAGTTCCCTAAAGGGGAAATAATTCTCTTTGTATAGATTGTTTTTGTCTGATTTTGTCTCGTGCCAGTTTAGAATATATATTCTGCCTTTAATATAACTTATGGGCAGATGGTTTACTGTATGCTGACATCAGAAAAACACCAACAACAACTACTAAGGAATGAAAACAAAAGTAATTATTTATTGTGTGAAAAGGACAATTTAATAACTAATTATCTCAGTTTGCACAATAAACATACATATTGCTCTCGTGTTTTTGGTGGCACATTCTTCACATGTAAGTTAGGCTGACACGTTTAGCGTATGATGTCACAACCGTTGTATCTTAGTGAAAGCGTGGAGCTCATTTGGAAACAAACAGCTGGTCCTGCAGTTCATTACCCTGTGAGCACCGCTCTGGATGACCCAGCCCCTTTGATTTTCAGCGGCGGACAGCTTCTGAAACATGTCTGCGAAAAGATTAGAACGGCCACGGCTGAGAAAGACAAACGACGGCTGTTATCCGTGTGGTTCTGAGCAGATTACTCACAGGTCATCGTAACAAGCTGCTGTGCTGCAAACCACTGCTCGCCACCAGTCATGTACTTGGCAGTGACAGACTCCATATACTGTGGAGAAAGGGATCAATTCAATATAACAAAACAAATATAACAAAATGAATCTCAGGTTGAAATGCAATCTAAGTCTATTTACCCTGGCGAGTGAACTGATGCCTTGGAGCTGATGAAGAACTCTCTAAAAACATGAAATGGAACATCTGCTGTATTTATTCAGACATTACTCATGAAATGTGTCACGCCTGGGGGAATGTCTCGTCTTGATTACCTATTGTGTACACCTGGGGTTTCCCTCCCTCATGTGTTTAAATAGTCCTCGTTTCCCCTTGTCTGGTGCGGGGTCGTTCTTGTCTGCTTGCCTTGTCTCTTGTCCTTTCGTCCGTCATCACCCCCACGCCAGGTTTGTTTTTGTCGTAGTTCTGCCACAGTCATAGTCACGTTTTGTCATAGTCTTGTTTATCTTTATTTTGTTACTTTGTCAAGTCATAGTTTTTGCCACAGTATTGTTTGCTCATTGCTTTGTTACTTTGCCCACAGTTTGCCACAGCTTTGTTTTGTACTTTGTCTGGACATTCACCCTGTTTTTGTTCAATAAACCTTGTTCCCCTCATTCCGCGACTGAGTCCTCCCGTCAACACCCACCTCCCTGACAGAAATGCATAAAAATTGTTACAGGAGAACACTTCAGCTTGTACCTGATAGGCGGAATCTCGGATCAATAGTCGTAGGCAGGTGAGAACTCTGAGGGCCGACTCAGACGGGGCCTGGTCAATCCATTCACTGCAGAAGGAGTGAAAAACTAGTCAGTGATGTCAGAGAAAGGGAAAGAGAAGAGAAAGCCAAAGTACTTCAGGGGCAGTTTACCTGCAGAGTCGATTCTTGACCAAAGAGACAAGAATATCAGAGAACAACTTGCTGAGAGGGTGGCTGCTGAAATATCGCTGGTCTTTGTATGTCATGCTGGAAAATCAAAGAATCTATAATTAGGCCTAAAGAGAAACCCAAGTGTTTGGCGTTCTTCTAACAAAGAGGAATTTTTTAGATGCTGACATCAGATAACCCCCACTAACAAACTCAAACTGAACCAAGCAGTCCTCTCATTTGTGAGACTTTCAATAAAGTTTTAACATTGATTTATTATTCGCATTTGAAAGTTTGGAGATGAGATCTTCCACTTTCCAAGGCCCGTAACTCACACTCTGGGTCTCATTTAAACCAAAACGTCTATGTTTGAGAGAATTAAAGTTAGTAAGCTTATTCTTTTTAATCAGTTCATTTTACAGCACATATAAAGCCCAAAAAGTGTCACTTTTGGGGTAAAAAAATGTATATGTCAGTCTATAAATCGCAAAGAAAGACAGACAAACTGACCTCTCACTCTGTCAGAGGCTATGTGGGAAAATATTTCAATAATTTCTTGACTATTTTCAAGGCAAACATACAAGAATTTACTATGTACAGCTCATAATAACATTCAAAGCTTCAAAGATTTGGAAGGAATCTCTGTATGCGAGACACAAGCGCTGCATCCTAAAGTTGATCGACGTGCCCTTGAGCAACACTGCATATCAGACAGTCATGATTGTGTAAAAGGAAAACACAACACAGACTAAACAAAAATCTCTGCAAACCAATGCTGAAATTCAGTTTAGAATGAATGCCACATTCTCCAAGCTAAAGAGTGGAGCCCCCCCGGCCTCCTGTAAGCACACAGAGCTAAATTAGTCCAGTGGGGGTGAAAATAACCCCACACCTGTGAGGGCACCACCTACACTGAACCGTACAATCAACTTTGAGATGAAATCTGTCATCCGTCACTTTTCTTTTTTTTTTTACAAAGAAAAATATCCATTTAAGCAAGACAATGCCAAATGACATACTGAACATATTACAACATGGTGGCTCTGTGGTGAAAGAGTCCAGGCCTGCCTACAGACATAAACCCGCCCTTATCCTCATCATTTTTTCTGTATGTGTCACTGCAATCGCATTCAAAATACTCTGATATTTTTAGAACAGTCCAGCAGTGGCAGCGGCCTGCAGCTGCAGCTTTAAAAACACTGTGTCTCTGTTTTTGTGGGAGTTTATAATGAGCTTTTTTCAACACTGACACCTCGGTTATGCTGGCTTAGATTTTTTTTTGCTTCTGGAATGATTTCTGCTGGCGACTCTCGTACTTTTTTCCATATGTTTCACATCTGTTTACACACATTTTGATGCTGAACTGGGGTAAAGGGAGAACTATTTACATGTCAAAAGAGTTTTCCAAAACCCAGTTTTTGTCTGGAATATGACCTCAAATCATAATGACTGGAAGAGGAGAAGTGTAGGATAGTTTCACTGACTTCTCCTGAAGCTATTCAGAATATGTCTGGGGTTGCTGTTTCAGTAGTAATGCCTTTTGTTTAGGAAGGCGACAGTGAGTCTTGCACACCTGAAACACAGGAATGAGCGGTTGTGGTATTCTGCTGTTCACTTGCACAATGGGCAGTGAGCACAATGCCAGCCTAATATCTCTCTCCAAAGGCACGCCCTAGACAAAGACTGCAGACAGAGGCCAACAGCAAAGGAGGAGGGATCGCACCGCTTAGTAAGAACAGGTGATGTCATCCCAAAAAATGGCCCTGAAAAGGTGGAACTCTGTTGGCTGTGGGTGTCTGTCCATGATGTTTGCCTGGAGAGTTGTTTTCAGGTTAATTCTAATATGACAACATGAACCTGAATTTTTCCAGTTCTGACTCTTCGTTGCAGATGTCTTTGTCACCCACGTGTCTTCGGGAGTGTTTTGGAGGATGTGGGGAACTGCTGGCTCGGCTGCTGCATCCTTTTGCCACCTGACACACAGAGAGTTTGAGGCAACAGCCTTCACACAGAAGAAATGCAAGCTGGCAGCTTTTTACAAAAATAAAAAATATGTAAACACATTGCCTTGGTGTGGGTCATATTCTGTTTACCTCTTTTCTGGGATTGCTTTTAGCAAGCAGGGACTGGAGCCTCCTGAGATCACAAGATGCCCTAAAAACAGGCCCGTCAGGTGTTGGTTATGTCAGGGAAACTGGTTTTAAATTGTGCAACAGACATTTAGCAAACGTCGAGGAGACAACCAAGCTTACTTGTGAATTCCTTTGGATTTCAAAGGCAATTTTGCTTCTTCTCTCACTCTCTTAACTGACATTTTCAGCATTTCCCCTCTTTCCATACTCCATTCAGGACCTTTAAGAAGTTTAAGCACTGAGTTACATTCTATCTGCTTTAGTCACATTATTATTCGAAACTCTTCAGAGGAAATTCTTGAAAGTAATTGCGGAGTAAACAAGGCTAGCCTGTTTCTGTTTCGCTAAATGAAACAGCAGAATGGCCCTGCCCTGCCATCATTTGTGAACTAAAGACATAGGATAATTGCCTTACCCTTTTTTGCTTCAAAGTAGCACCGAGTGAATTACAGGTGACATAACTGTTATTCGACCAACAGAAGAAACAGGGACATTTGCAAATGAGTAAACGCAATGTTAATTATTCGGCATGTCCAATCGAAGCAACCTGTATTGTACTGTCTTTGTTGCTATGGATACAAATGTTTGCTGTCTGGAACTGTTTGATTACTTATTTATTATTATTTTTAACGTTATGCTTCTCCAGTGTAGTGCTTCATGTTGAGTTTAGAGTCAAGTTAAAAAACTTATTTGACACATAACAAAACCTGCATAACGATTCACTTTAATTTATCTGCAAACACATTAATACATTTGATATTTGTACAGAACAGTATTTGTGAAAGTAAATCGAAATAATGTCAATTCGAGTTTAACAATTTAAGAAAACCGACAGTCCTCTTTTTAAATTGTTATTGTTGATTTTACAGTCGAGGCAGCTGACTCTCGTGAGATCAAATTACTATTCAAAGAAACCCTCGAATATCGCGAGATGTGAATGTGTCTCCTATGTGCATTCACGTACTCTTTACGTAAGCATTTTGGCGTTGTGTAGTTGGATGCGCATAGTGCTGCGTGCTCCATTGTGCGCAGTTCAAGCAAAAGTAGTGAGAAGGGGAATGTCGGCTTGTGAATGATCGGTGTGAGAGGCGGCAGGGAGCGTTAACGTTATGGGTGAGACTGCCACTGTCAGCTACTGTTACAATTTACCAGAAAACATACTTTCCAACTTAAGAGATGATTATTTAAACTTACATCGGTTATATTATTTAAAGTATCGGTCGCTATTTAGCTTCAGCAGTTGTCTGAGCAACCAACGCCCAGTCCGCCTCCAGTTAGATGGGCTGCTAGCTAGCTAGTTAGCCTCGGTGTGTTAGCAGGCTTCATAACCCAACGGAAGTGTCATTTCCTGTCTTTAGCTCTTTAGCAAAGTACTTCAGCAAACGCTTCTACGTTTTTTATAACGTATCCTTATATAATACGTTAAAAAATTACAATAACGTGCAACTGTTTTTCAAAGGTTATGCGTTAATAGCAGTAGTTTGATAACGAGCTAACTTTGTGAACGCTGGATTAAACTACTTACATTGATGCTAATATGCTTTAACGTTAAATTGAAAAAACAGAAAACGGCTGTGGACTGTGGGTTTCTTAAACATTAAATCACCCTAACATTGAGCAAAATACCGTGGGAAATCCTTATTACTGCATCTTGCTTCGAAAAAATGCTTTTTTTAACGGTAAAGGACAAAGTTTTTTTTCAAGTGCCGGACATGATTTTATGATGTGGTGTATGATTAGTACTTTAATCAACCTTGCATGTCTAGGGAATTTAGAAAGGCATTCAAAATCAGACCTAGACGATGTCAGGTTAGCCATAAGGAGGTTACGGCTGCCATCTAATCTGGATTACAGTGGATCTAGTACCTCAGGGTTCATGTTTTGACTTTAAAGTTCTTTGGCTGCAGAGTGTGACCTGCATTTCAGAACACTGCACCTGTTATTTTTTTATTTATTTTTTGCTTCTCAAACTGTAAATTTGATCAACAGTTTTTAAATTGATCTTAAACCTGTGTGTTAGGACGACTAGATCTTCCACTTGTAACCACTTCCTTTAGAAGACTTTAGAGACACTACCGGAAAGGAAACACACAGTTGTGATTTGAAAATGACAACTCATGCATAGTTTTGTATCAGCTCAGCTTTTAGGTTCACACAATGTTTGAAAATGGTTTGCCTAGCTAAGATTATTAATAGTTTGCATACTTTGACATCCCACATAATGTATTGGGGGGAAAAAATATTTTCAAAGCAAGCACTGCTTGCTATTTACTACACATACTTGTAGATATTGAACTCTATGTCCTGTAGGCAAATCATCATATCAGGGCCCAGAACCACAAAGGAGACATGTGGGCTGATGTTGGCAGGCAGAAGATGCTCTGGCATAAGAAGCAGAAATCTTCTTCTTGCCATGGGCTTTAGGAAAGGGCTTCGACAAAAAATTGACCCTGCTTTCTGGCACATCTGACATTTAAGAAGCTAAATATGTCCAACTTTGAATCAGTGCAGCTACAGTATCTCAGATCACACAACATGGAGAAACAGATTCTGCAGTTAGAGTATTTTATCAAAGGTCCTGAGACTTACATGTTGCTTTCTTTTTCTCTCTCCTTCTTGGTGACTCTGGGATGTGCCTTCACACTGGGACCTCTTCACAACACAGCTGTAAGTACAGATCATTTCTTTTTCTTTTTCTCTTCAAACGTGCACATTGAAAGCAGTGTGACGGAAAGTTAATCAAATCTAAATCATCTCCATTTCTAGTAATAAAAACATCCAAATAATGAGGGCTCATGATTTAAATCATAAAAAAAAAAACTTGTTTCAGTTAAAGAAATCTGGAAATAAGGTGGCCGAATATTCTCTTATGAATTTTACAACAGATCCAAGATCACGTGTATGGTTTTTAAGAGAAAAATTCCTTTCTTACAGCAACAAAAGAATCTGGAGGGATATGTTGGCTTTGCAAGCCTTCCCAACCAAGTGTACAGGAAGTCTGTGAAGAGGGGCTTTGAGTTCACCCTGATGGTCGTGGGTAAGAACACACGCTGCTCAGCCCTCTGTTTGCCCTTCTTTTGCTTGAATCATTTCATTGTGTTCCCTGTGGTTGGCATTTGGAGTCCTTCAACATGGTTTGTTTTTGAGAGCGAGAGTGAGAGAGACACTTGTGTTTGTGTGTGTGAGAAACCTTATTTACACAAAGGGGACAGGCGCCCGGCTTAGTAGTGTTAATTGCTGACTCAGGGAGGCCGGGGCATTGCCTTCTTCCTCCGTGTCATGTCGATATGGGGCACTTGACACTGTCTCAGGGAAAAGAAACATTTGGTTTGGATTTACCCCGAGCTGCACTCAGCGGATCAGAAATGCAGACATTCTTTTTAAATGCTTAGATGTGGTGGTTGACACTGGGCCAAAGTCCTCCTTGGCTGATCAGGCTCTGTTTAGAGGGAAAACGTGTCCCAGGGTCAGAACTATTTCCTGTGGCCGGACCAACAGGAGCGTTCTTAGCATGCATTTAGGAACACGGTTTTTTTTTGTTCTGGACACAGTTTTATCACAGTAGCCTGGTATACCTGCTTGGCAGTCTTTGAATCATTGTCATCGGATAACATCCATAGAGGGACACACACAGTTTTCTTCCTTTTGTGTTCCTTGCGCCGATCTCTGTGGGACTTGCTGGATTGCGACCAAGTGGGTCTCACCGGCTTCTGAAGGCGTCACTCTGTTATCTGCAAATATCGCCATTAGAGATTTAATAGCAGGAGAGATGAGAAACGGCATTGCAATAAACACAGTAGAGGAGGGCCTCTGGGCTTTCTGGTCGTTCAGTGTGCGCCAAACTGTTTCACACACAACATTTAGCCGTTGTTGGCTCTGATTAGCCACAAGCCCACATGTCCCCGCTGCGCCCACATGCAGCTTGTCACCAGTCTGCTGTGAAACAGAAAAGGAGGAACGGAGATCGGTATAGCATTACCATCGGGCTGCCACTTCTATCCATAGCCCATGAAACACGTGATCCAACAACCTGTTCGCACATAGCACTGCAGCTCTCTCAGAGTCCCGTTGGCTCTTCATATGGCAGCAAATTTGATAAGCGCATCCCAGAGCTCAGTAACGGACCCCACACAAAATGTCCGACAAACAAATGCCACCGCACAAGCGCCACATATTACCCCTCCACTGTAGCTCTGGTGTAAATGCTAACTGCTTAAATATTGACTCCTGGCCTTCAGCCAAAGCAGGCCGTGCCAGTGGTCGCTGCCACTAATGATTCCTTTCACTGGGAGCTTGGAAACAGGGCACACAATTGGTCAGCCAAGCTTGAGAAGTCTCCCAGACCACACAGCCTGTCAACTGCACATAAGAGCCATTGTCCCTGCTGTTTCTTTAGCCTTTTAGCTGTTTGAGCCAAATAGATTGATATCTTTGGCAAAAGTCTGCCGCATCCCTGGAAAGACACGCGACCTTTGATTGTAGGACGGCACCAGTGTTCTTTGTATTGGTGTAAAAGGGAGGGACCGACTTTTACTTTCATTATGATGCTCTAATTTACAATCCAGCCAGTTTTTTTTTTTTTTATCCACATGTCTTAGGATATTGATTTCTATTCTCATTTTGTTTTTACAGGTGAGTCGGGACTGGGCAAATCGACTTTGATCAATTCCCTGTTCCTAACAGACCTGTATTCTCCCGAATATCCTGGCCCTTCACATAGAATCAAAAAGACTGTACAGGTAAATTTTTGGGCTTTTAACATTAGTTATCGGTTAAACACACATGTTCTTCTTCCAAATATTAGTCAGAGTTGTAATCGATTTGTATGTTTTTATTATCTGACCTTGGGCTCCACTGTTTATTCTCTAATCTGGATAATTTGATAACTTCAGTTCACTCTTCATTCTACAACGTTCCCCGTGTGCTGTAAACAGCCCCCCCCCCTCTTTGATGACAAGAACTGTAGAATAATTTCTGTGGTCCTAAACCATCCATAATAAATACATTTTCCAGATGTAAGATGAAGACAGTAATGTTAAATATTCTGGCTTTTTGCTCGTATGATGAAATGCACTGTGGTGTGTATTAAAATACCCAACTGGCACAGATTAAGGGCAGCATGAATGAGTACGACCCCACAATCTGAACATTTCCCTCAGAGGAGAATTATGGAGTGTGGAGAAACATGTCTAATATGTTTGGACTGCTTCTCTTAAATTTCTTGAAATGGTTCAAACCAGTCAGACCCATCAGCCCAGGCCATAAATGCCTTTATCCCATATTTCCAAATATGGTCCTGAGTCTTGAATGCCTCAAGTGCAAACTCTGTCTGTCTGGCCTGCGACTGACAGCGCTGCTATCTCCAGACGTTTTGAGGGCTTCTGAGCATGATTTGCTCGTAGCCTGATGTGATATGGCGTGTCGCGGCACGCCGCGCGCAGCTAAGTGTTTTCGGCTGCGCGAAACCAGGTGACCCGGGCCTCCATGTGGTTTACGATCCGTCTGATCGCTCTGGGAAGCGGGAGTAATCGCGGCGTGCCCGTTTCCTCCTCTTGTCCTGTGGCAGGTGGAGCAGTCTAAAGTTTTAATAAAGGAGGGCGGCGTCCAGCTGCTGCTCACCATCGTGGACACCCCCGGGTTCGGAGACGCCGTGGACAACAGCAACTGGTGAGGATCAGAGCAGCCGCACCTGTGCGTGCGCACCGCGGTCTTCTGTTTCTAAAGGGAAGCTGTCCTGTCTTTTCTGCTCCGCAGCTGGCAGCCTGTCATCGACCACATAGACAGTAAGTTTGAGGACTACCTGAACTCAGAATCACGCGTGAACAGACGACAGATGCCCGACAGCCGAATCCACTGCTGCCTTTACTTCATCGCCCCGTCAGGTCACGGGTGAGAATGGAGACTGTTTTATAAGATATTTAGCCCTCTTCATGTCCCCTCTTCTACAGAGTGTCCTTTTCTGCTTGTGCTAGGACTAAACTGTACTTGTCACGTCATTTCTCACTGTCAAGGCACCATGGAAGAAAGGAATGTATGTAGACTTTAGAAAGGAAAGGGTTCAGAGGGGAAGGGTGTGGGACAGTGGGAGGAAATGAGTAAAAAAAATGGTGAGGAGGGAAATGAGGGGTTAGAAGTGGCCCAAAAGGCCAGAGATGCAGGTTTGTGGCTGAAAGTAAAGATGATGGGGTCACCAACATACAAAAAGACGGGGGGGTGGCTCATAAAGGGCTCCCACTTTTAGAAAAGTGGGTAAAATTGGCTCTCAGTAAGTTGCTGTAGCCCATTCCACTCCACCGAGTTTATGGCAGGCCTGTGTGCAAAAGAAGAGTTAAAACTCGAGTGTTAGAAAGAATGGGGGAGGGGGGGAGTTGACTGGGCTGGCAAAGTGCCCAGCAGATGATACTGATCACCAAGTGGTTCATGAAAAGATGACTGTGGAATTTTAATTATGTTCATTATTCACAAGCCACCACATCTTAAGAGGCTGCTTTGGCTGAAGGGTTCGTCTCCACCCGTCTGCCCTGCGTTCTGCACACTGGCCTGTCAAAGCGCTCATATTGAGAAACTTAAGTGGTTATTTCCTTCCTTTAAAAAAGACAAAAACAAAAGAAGAACCCACGCTTCTCATATAAACGCACGTGTGGCTTTTTTTTTTCAGGTTAGAAAGACCAGTTATTTAAAGATGCTGTTCAGATGCGTCATGCTCGTTGCAGCTGCAGGAGAAACGAGGTGTTAGCATTTTTTCTTTCCCCCCTTCTTGCGCGTCTTTCTCCAGTTTATGCAAATATCCGCTGTGCGTTCACATGTCTGTAATCTCATGATCATGACTTCAGGCTTTTACGCTCCAAAAGTCGCCTCTTTGCGTGGCTGCTGTCTGCAAAAACAAAGTAGTGTATTAACACAGCGCTCATATGACCTTAAACTGCTGGCTGGGACACAGTCTGCTCACAGGGGGGTGAGTGGGGGTTTGGGGGGAGTGGGGGCTCACAAACATAACATGATCAGTCTTTTAGGTTATACCTAATATGAAACTGCTCTTGATTCAAAGATGGCAAATGGGAGGAGAATGGTTAGCTGTTACATTTCTGTAATAACACCAGAGGCAGATGTTCACCGCCACTCCAGATGTGCCCCTTACTGTAAACAAAGGAGAAGACACTGTCCCCCCCCCTTTTGTCCTGGTCCTTTCTCAGTCTGGGCTCTCTATGGGACATTGTGCCTGTACAAGCCTGTGCTCTGTACCCACACAAGCAACAGTTGGGCCCAGAGGATGGGCGCCGTATGCTCTTACACACACACCCACACACACACACACACACACACCCACCCACACACACACACACACACGGCAGCTGACTGCCCTCACACAGCAGCACAGTGCTGAGAGGCAGCCAGGCTGCCGCTTCCTCAGACCCGCCGGGCCGCTGGTTTACCTTCAGGACGACGACTTCAACAAGCCATCTCAGGAATTTTACGAGTTCATGAGGTCCAAAGCAAAAGCGCTCCAATTCTAATCCGATGCCAAACCAGCTCAGTACAACCTAATTCTTTATCATGTTTCAGGCCAAGAGGTCAGTAGTCCAGTTCCCTCCAAAACACAAAAAGAAGTCCGCCTGAACAATTTATGTTTTGTTCTTTGGATCTTCTACAGGGGCCAGAAAGCTGCTAAATTCCCAGTGATTTGAGCTTTTACCCAGGTCATATTATTGTAATGTGTTGGATGAATACTTGTCACGAAACACTGGAAAGGACAGAAAACAGGGGAAAAAAACATATGCTGCATCCTTTTTTTCCATTATACTCTACTACTTTAGTCAGTATGATTTTAAAATCAGGCTGAATTTATCATGTGCTGAACCCAAATATTCAAATACTTTCTAAACCCACTTCATCCTGCGTTTGGTCAAGCAGCCGGTGGTTAATTTAAAGCTCTGATATTAGATATGATCATTCAGATGTTTTGTCTTTTGGCGATAGTTGAACATATTTTCAGACGCGTTGCATTTCCGTTCACACACGCACAGCTGGCCTGCTGTTTTGGTTTCAGCGGAACTGGCTCGCATATTAGTGAGATGGGCCTGGAAATGTTTGGTGTGGCCCCGTTCTCTCTGACAGCGTGAGTGCTTTCTATCTAACCCTGTATTGACTTGGACTGTCGATACAGGACAGCTGTGGGGATCAATTGAGTCCCAACAAAGAGCATCCAGTCTCTCTTAATGACCTTTTATTGAATATTGGACACTGCAACAAGCAAGGTTACCGTGAGCCGGCCGCCATTGTTTGGCTTGGTGTCCCAGAGATAATGAGTAAATCTGACTTTATCAGCTGGAACAGATGTTAACTGAATTACATGTTCATTTTCATTATTGTTTCGATTTATTTTTTTTAAGCCCAGTGTCCAGTGGCTTTTTAGGGGTCAGACACAGCAAACCCCAGATCTCTACCATTCCCAATAAAACTATTTGATTTTTATCTAGTGACAACATAAAAAGTGAGCGGCTCAGCAGGAACTCGGTTATTTATCCAGATAGAATGCTGCCAAGAATAGCAGCTCTTTCTCATGACTCTGAGGTCATTTTCTTAGACATGACAAGCACCGGCCGAGCGTCACACATTTCTATATTTAGTTTAGCTCATTTTATCCATGCCCTGTGTGAGGAGGAGCTTACCCAGGGACTCTCATCAAATGTAAATCCATAAGCCACTCAGCCCCAGAAATATCCCGTTTAATCCCGCAGTGGCAGAAAAGTCAATTCCACAACAGTATGCTTAATTTTCCACTTTATTAGGCAGCGCAAAAAAAATCCAAAGGTTAAAGATGCAGTTTGTTTGAGAGGCAATAAAAGCTGCGTCTTTTTTCCCTCCGCAGCCTCAAACCGCTGGATATCGAGTTTATGAAACGGTTGCATGAGAAAGTCAATGTCATCCCACTGATCGCCAAAGCAGACACTCTCACCCCGGAGGAATGCCAACAGTTCAAGAAGCAGGTCAGTGGTTTCCACAGCTGCACGCAGCCTCAGAAAAAAAAGGGAAAATGTGCGGCCGTGGGTGGGAGTGATAGCACAGCTCGCTTCTCCAATTACGCCCATTTAAATACCAGAACAATCTTAGCTTAGATTTATGTGTGCGATGTTCTGTGCTGCTTCTCACACATTCAGTTTTTTCTTTATGTAGGTTTGATTTGTAGCCTAACAGAACGTGATGGGATTGTAAACACGCCCCTGGTTCAAAACATTTTCAGTTTCTGTTTCCCAGCGGTTCATATAAGATACTAGGCCTCCTCTGATTGAGATCATGTGATTTGCACGGCTTTCTGCGGGCCGGCACTCGGAAGCTCCAACAGGAACTGTAAACAAACTCTCTTCTCCGGCTAGATCATGCGGGAAATCCAGGAGCACAAAATCAAGATTTACGAGTTCCCCGAGACGGATGACGAAGAGGAGAACAGGCTGGTGAAGAAGATCAAAGTACGGCCGCCTGCTGGCAGGGTGTGCCGGTTTCCTCTGAATTCGTCGTTTTAAAGCCGCTCGCTGTGCTGCGTTTCAGGACAAGCTGCCGCTGGCCGTGGTGGGGAGCAACACCATCATCGAGGTGAACGGCAAGAGAGCAAGAGGCAGACAGTACCCCTGGGGGGTCGCTGAAGGTGGGGATGGTTTTAAAGAATTGTCCGTCTGACCTATTTTTGCTCGAAAGTATTGGAGAACGCGACAAACGGGGATTGTTTTGCCCGCTTCGTCTTTGGAGTCTTTTGCGTGTCAGACCTAAAGTGACGCGTTTGTGCTGATGACCTGTGGCCGTCTCTCCCCCCCCCAGTTGAGAACAGTGACCACTGTGACTTCACCATCCTGAGAGACATGCTCATACGGTATGTGAAAGCGCCTCGTGGGCTGCAGGGATCCCGAAAGAGCTCCTTAAAGACCCACGTCCTTCTCTCTCTCCCTCCACTCGCAGAACCAATATGCAGGACCTGAAGGACGTCACAAACAACGTCCACTACGAGAACTACCGCAGCAGGAAGCTGGCCGCCGTCACCTACAACGGCGTGGACAACAACAAGGCTAAAGGGCAGCTGTCCACCAAGTAAGTCCCGAACAGAGAGCGGGAGAGGCAGTCTGAGCCACCTGAAAGCCTTCGGCTGACGAGAAATTAAAGAGGACAGATGTATTTAAGTTAAGACATTTGAGCGGCTTCTCATCTTGTGACTCTTGTCATTTTTAGAGGAAACACTGCAGATGTCCATTTATCCCCCCCTGTCAGACTCCAAAGTAGCTCATTAGCATATTAGCAAATTATAAGCTAATGTCCCGTCCATCTACATGCATAGAATTATACATATTATTCCACTTTTATGCTCCAGTTGGTCACAGACTGTAAAGACAAATATTCACTATTAGAAAGTTTAAAGTATGAGTAAGTTTTACCTGTTTTGTCTCGCCCTAAACCGACTGAGTGACATCTCTAAACATGTTAGATGGACTGGTGGGCGCCCCCTATCGCGCTTTGTCCTGGTTTTCTGACACTGCTTCAAGTGTTTGAGGTCACAGGTCAATGGAAAAAGGCAAAGCGAGGACGTTTTTCCCACCGGGGGAGACTCATCTCGGGCTGCCACTCCACCGCATTCCGTAGAAAACGGCTGGGTTTTTTTGTGTGTTTTTCAATCGGTTTAACCCGGACGCCACCCTGCTCTCATTCGCATAGTCACTAGCCAGTGAGAACTCACACCGCCTAACTCCTCACACGCTGATGCTAACACACAGCTCAGATCACCGCTGCCCAGCTCACACTAGCGTTTGCGGGACAAAGCGGCTTGAGTGTCAGAAAGCGTTTAGCCATGTTTTTTTATTTCCGTGCATGACCTCATCATCGCATGCTGTGTGTGTGTCTGTGTGTGTGTGCGCGTGCGTGTTTGTCTGTGTTTTTGCTTTTTAGACTTGACACAGTTGAAGGAATGTAAGTGGAACATTTTGTTTTTTATTTCCCCCATATTTGAGTCTCCCGCGTAAAAAAAATAAATAAAAAGCCCTCCTCCTCTGCCCCCCCGTCGGCTGCGTTCAGGTGCTCCCTTTCCTTCCATCTTTTCCTGGCTTCAGTCGGTGGATGTTTTCACATTTTCTGGAGGGAATAAACGGGCTCCGCTTCCATGTTTTTTTTCCAAACTGCAAAGACTTTCCACCCGCCCGCCTTAACATCAGAGACCCACGTGAGATGTTGGGAACGGTTGCAAAGCGGGAGGAAAAATAGAGCTTTTTCCACCAGCGTTCTGCTCGGTCACACAGGTTCTCCACAGAGGCCTGCACCGCATAGAGAACAAGGTTTAAAAAAGCTAGAGAAATCCAAGCTGTGCCCCAGAGGCCCCGGACTCCAAACGCCGAGGTTAAACTCTGAAGCTAAACTCTGAGGCTAAACTCTGAGGCGTGGTCCGGCTCGCTTCCCGTTCCCATCACTCCACGGCGGGTCTCTGACGCTCGTACCGCAACACACTGATGAAACCCACTCACCTTTAACCCACACCCTCCACTAACGGCAAAGTTCTCGGGCTTCTTGGGTCTCTGCTGCATCTCTTTCAAATCCAGTCTCTGGGGGTGTGTTCTGCTCCTGCTGCTGCGTCCAGCCGTTCCTAAAGCCGCTCCTGTAGCTCCCTCCTGCACCTCCCACCTGTCTTATTCCTCCAGAAGAATGCATTTCACTCCTCTGCAAAGATGTCAAGAGACGATGGGAAGTTCAGTTGGTTTTTTTCTTCTTTAGAAGAAGCAACTAATAGGTTAGTTTCTGACAGATTGCAGGGATAAAAAGCTTTTTATAGGCAGAGTGAGCTTTACAGCCATGTCTTTTGCTCAGGGACTCTGTGAGAAGGACACAGGTTTGAGGCAGCTTACGCACATGTGTCAAAGGGAGGAATGTGGACAGGTGGGTTTGTATGCTAGAGATGGAAGCCCAGAAGAGAGCAGAGGACAGAAAACAGCAATTTACAAAGCATGAACGGACCAGACCGTTATTGTTTTGAGTTGAAAGAGACGACGACAGGGTTACCGTGAGGATGGAGCCGCGATTTAGAAGAGAAGTCTTCAGATTAAGCTTGTCCCGATCCAATATCGGATATTTACAAAAAACTGAGTATCGGCCGGCAGGAGAAAAAAAACAATCCAGACTGCCGATTCCAGTTTTTTTTTAAAGTCCAATCCCCCACGAACTTTAGCATCTCCTAACCCACAGGTCTGTGTCCTAACCATGAAGTTGTTATCAGAGTAAACCCCTGCTCATTATGAGTCGGACAACTAAGTAAGTAGATGAATAACTTTAAACTTTAATAAACTCTGATAGGTCGGTATCGGATCGGAAAAAGCTGGATCGGGACATCCCTAGTTCAGATAAAAGGATTAATCCGTTGCAGCTTTAATGAGGAAATTAGCAGTTTTCCTTCAGTTAGCGGGCGTTTTCTGCCTTAGGGGAGATTAGAGAGCAGGTCAGAGAGTAAACTTTCAGGCAGATCGCTGAAGTCGTGAGTAAAGATGCAGAGTCTGGACCTGTCCGTCCTCCTCCGGCCTTCCTTCCTCCTGAGAGCTTCTGCATGCCGGGCCAAAGGCAGACGGCCAACGCTGCCCCCCCCCCCCTAACCACGCCGCCGCCCCCCCCGAGCTGCGGGACGGCCGCGCCCACCCGGAAGCCGTGCGCACGCCTCTAAAGTGTGTGTGTGTGTGTGTGTGTGTGCTAACGTGCCCTCCCTGCAGGAGCCCCCTGGCCCAGATGGAGGAGGAGAGGCGAGAGCATGTGGCCAAGATGAAGAAGATGGAGATGGAGATGGAGCAGGTGTTCGAGATGAAAGTCAAGGAAAAAGTGCAGAAGCTCAAAGACTCCGAAGCAGAGGTAAGTCTCACACACACACACACACACACACACACACACCCTCCCCTGTCCCTCAGGTCGGTTCTCAGCCGGCCGTTTAAATGCATTTTGAATCAAATTGGAGAAGCTGTAATGAAAACAGGAAGTAAAGCGGCCTCAGCCAGAAAAACAAAGACAACCCTGTTTGAATCTCTGGGGACATGCCGGATCTACATGGCATTCCCAAATTCCCAAACGGCAACTTTCTTTCTTTTTTTTTTTTTTGTCTTTAGTGCAAACAGCAGGTAGAAAACTCTTTCTGTGTGTGTTTGTTTCGCGTTTGCCTTTTCCAGCTTCAGCGGCGTCACGAACAGATGAAGAAGAACCTGGAGGCTCAGCACAAGGAGCTGGAGGAGAAGAGGCGCGTGTTCGAGGAGGAGCGGGTAAACTGGGAGACCCAGCAGCGCCTGGAGCAGCAGAAGCTGGAGGCGTCCAGGTACAGCCGGCTCCCCTCAACCCTAGAATGCCAAATGTGTCATATCTGATACGGTTTCTGAAGTCTTTTGGATCTGAGAGTTTTTGCATCATTCAGTGGTAAAAGCTTTGCTAAAACCCCTGTTGTACACATTCAGATATACCTGATAACAGCCAGTAGAAGACTACACCAAAATATATTTTTGACTTAGTGCACGCTAATTTGATCAAAATTATTATTATTTTTTTCTTCATATGTTGTTGAGGGGCCAAAGAAAGACTTCAGACTAAAAAATAATCCAATATTCTTCCTATTTTTCTTGGATCAGGCTTTAAAGGGTTAACACAGCTCACATATCAAATCCATACGTAGACTTCCACATCTCCCTTCACCACCTTATATCATTATTATTATGATGTCTTCTGGATATTTGAACAGTAGCTGTATAGAACACTTTCATGCTGGATGGTGGCCCCCTCTCCAAAGAAAAGATTTAAAATCTGAGTATTTCTTTAGATGGCAGGAATCCTGCAGCCCGAACAAAATAAATCATTTTTTAAATAAACATTGATCAAATGACACACAGGACGGACTGAGAGACTCATTCCTGAGTCCACACGCAGCTTAGTCCCACCATCCTGGTGGCCCTTCCCCGGTTTTCTGCCGCCTTGCTGCCGCCCGGAGGCGGCCGGTGTCATTAAGGAAAAGAAAAGTCCAGTAAAGGTCTTATGTTTGTGTCTCTGACAGGACTCTGGAGAAAAACAAAAAGAAAGGCAAGATCTTCTAGAGGCCGCCGGCAGGACCACCCCAGCTCCAGTTGTTATTGTTTGCCAACGTTGCCGGTCAGGACACCCGTCGAGTGGCACTGACCCCCCC